TGTGTGTGTGTGTGTCTGTGTGTCTGTGTGTGTGTGTGTTCTCCAGGGACCTGATCAAAGTGCTGAAGTGGTACGTGGACCGCATTGTTGACGCAGAGCATCAGGATCACATACAGCAGGTCCTCAAGGTGAGCTGTGTGGAATCACAAAAGCAGACTGAGATATTTCCGAGTCGTACGCTCCTGCATGCAGCCGTCTCCGTAGACTGCACATTACGCAGTCAACACAGATGCATCCAGAAACACAAACAAACAAACTTGACACTTCTGTCAGCTCCCCCCAGGCTTATTTATCTCCACATCAGCAGTGGATATGTCACAACGCCATCCATTATTCCCTTCCTCTGTCTATTACGCAGCTTGCAATTTTAATCAGCAGAAAATAAAAGGCAGTGCCTCTGGTGCTTGGAATGCACATCACATTATTCTAATGGCTCAGGCAGATACACCATCAGAGGAGCACAGTGCAGCTCCTGTAGTGCAGTTTCCCCATTTATCATTCACAGAATATATCCTGCACCAGAAGCAAATGTTTGGTGCAAGTTAATGTTGTCATGCAGGAAATAACAAGTGATGTGAAGAGAGCTGATGTGTTTCCTCATGTACATAATCCAAAGAATATCTTTTATCAGGCTTTTTAGAGCAGTGGTTCACAAACTATGGATGGGTAAACTATGGTATGGCAAACTATTAGAAGAAGCGCATTTAGCAATGATTATTAAAAAAGTTGTAAAATCAGTTTAAATTTTAAATAAAACTCGCTCAGATCAATTTCCTCCATATGCCTCAACCATCTCTGGAGACAGTGGGGAAATGAAAATTCATTTTTTTTAAACTAATTCAACAATATTTGAATGAAATTATCAAAATCATTGTCAAAATGTGTTTATTTCACCTTTTTGATAAAACTTTGTCTCTAACAATCCTTTTTTCAATTACTTGACCAGTTATATTTCTATAAAATGAATGAAAATCATGTAAATGAATTGTCATAAGTTCAAGTTCAGGCCTTTTCTTGAGCAACAGCGCCCTCTGCAGCTACACGTGGTGATACATTTTGTTGGGCATTGGAGAAATTAAGTGGTTTTCATGTAGAGAAAAACAACAAACCAATCACTTAACTGAAATAACTGCGGATATTACCCATGATCCCTAGCTACATGAACCAGAAGAGCTGCGGCTGTAACAAATACATCAAATTCTTAATATTCAAAACGTTTTCTGGCTGAATATCAGAGAAACTCTGGTTTTTAATATCTACAGATTCCTCTGATTGAACAGTTACAGTTACACACGTCCGTGAACCATCAACTCATTTTGATGCTGCTAATTTAAGGTCAAAAAGTTGAACAGTGTTGCTTTAGGATTTTGAATTTCCCTGACCACAAAAAACAACTCTTGTTTACACTCATATAAAGAGGGCAAGCAAACATTTCACATATTTATGAAATCCTAAATCACTTTAAACGATTTTACGATCACAGTTGGCAAATGTCCTTGTAATTTCAACACAAGTGCTTTCAGTTAAATTAAAATGAAATTGAGTCATAAAACTTCATCTGTGGATTAAACACACATCAGGTTAAAGTTCGGTATGACATTGTTCTTTCGCTTGAAGGGGAGTCTGGCTTTCTTTTTTACTACCCGGCACAAATGATGAACGATTGTTCCCTCTGTCCTCCAGGCCAGCGAGTACATCTTCAAGTACATCATCCAATCTCGCCGGCTCTTCTCATTGGCGACGGGAGGCCAGAGCGAGGATGAGTTCAGGGTCTGCATCCACGAGCTCTTCATGTCCATCCGCTTCTTCCTGTCGCAGGAAAACAAAGGCACCAGCCCCGTCGCACAAACACAGGTACTGTACATGTTCGCTTCAGTACCGCTTCTTCTTTTTATGATCAACATGTGCGTCTGTGAATATGTAAATCTCTGCCTGTTGGCACGTGTCCACCACACGATGTTGTCTGTCTCGAGGACTGCTGTTAATGCAGCTGTGATAGGTGAGAAATTGCCTGTAATTTCATTTCACGCCGCCGGAGGGTCTGGAGACGGAACAGGAATTTTCCGTGGCAGCTTTTCCTTTTGCCGGTGGGAGGTTTGCACAGCAGGACGGGCGCCTTCGCTCATTTCAAATCAGAGCTGAACAAACAAGTTAAAGACGCCAAAGATAATTGTAATTACACAGCAGCTGTTTGTGTGTGGCGTTGTCCTTTTGTTTTTTGAAGTATTATCCTCCTAGAGAAATACCTGTATCACGGCCTCTACGCTACCTGTGTGTTCCTCAGTGTTTTGTGTTTTATCTCATCATCGTCTCCCATTTGCCTGCTCCTCCTTCTCCTTATCTCTTCTTTGGTATTCTCACTATTCAAGTCAGACCTCTGCGTGTGTGTTAATTCTCCAAAGCATGATAGTATTCTCCTTTTAATTTCTTGGTGTTCATCTCAGCCGTGGCAGCCCTGAGCATATGATCTGTTCCAGGATTAAGGAGAAATAATTCTCATCAGGTTCATTCCTCCACCAGGTTTACTTTTCACAGCTCATTTGAACAATTATAACGATGCACTCAAGAGACAGACAGAGTAACGTAATCAAAACCAGAGTTCTTCTTTGTGATAATAGAAATCACTTTGTAATGAGTTGGCCTCTTTTTGAAGTGATTGAAGAAACACGAGTGCAAAAGCAGCAACACAACAGAAACGAAACCGCGACGGACGTGAGGGACAACAGATGTTGACAATGAAACGAGAAGAGTAACTCACTGCTGTCAAGTCATAGATGAGCTGTCGTCTGTGAAAACTCAAACAAGTTAGTTGCAGTTTAAATTTTGATGTTTTTACGGCACAGATGCTCCGAGGATCCAAACGTAACACAAGCAGGGACTGATTTTTCTGGATTTTCACAAACGATGGCTCACGTTGTGGTTGTGTTTCCGTTAAGTGGCTTTTGGGTTCTTGATTTCCGTTAAAGTGCTTGCGTGAAACGTTTCCGCCACCGTACATGAGAGTGAGATGACGAGTGTAACATTAGATTCTAGTTGTGTTCTCTGTGTAAACTGAAAATCATCCCTCCACTGACTTCTGATTTGGACTAATCCGTATTCTCAACACAACAATAGCAGCCTGAGGAAAGAGGTCAGCCTAATGCTAATCCCTGTTAATCTGTGACATGTGGGGACACACAAACCAGGAAGCAAGGTGCACAAAATCTGGAACCTATAATGTCAGACTTTACATCACAGGTTGACTCAGCATCTGATGTGTTGAACACTGAACAGAGTGATGTCCTATCAGAATGGTGATGAATGAATATTGTGCAATATGTAAATTAAGAGTCAATAGAGGATTTCTGCACAGATGGAGTTGGACTTTGTCCCTGTGAACAATTAAAACAGGATTTTCTCTGTTTTGACCTGTGACCATGTTTTTCATTAGAAAAATACACAAAAGCACAAACATCCAAACTTGATAAACACGAAAAGTTTCCATAAACCAGTTGATGCTCTCAGAATTTGTTTTATTTTACCTGGACCAGGTAACCTGTGAACCCGAAACTTTACCTTTACAATTAAAGTTGGAATTTTGAAAATTACCGACTAAGATTTATTTAATCTATTTTGATTAATGCAAAACAAAAATATAAATTTTCTCTTGAGCCAGTGTCTGTCTGACAGTTAGGAAACATTCCAAATCAGCAGGTTCCAATGAGGAACCTTTTAAAAAGTAGTTGTACAGTAAAATTCCTTGTTCAAACTGTTTTAACTAAACTTTTGTCACAGTTCACAGTGAAACAAAATGTCTGACTGAGACAGTGACTGTCCCTCTGGAGAAGTCCTTCAAATTAATCCACATAATCCCTGACTCACAAATCCAGTCCAGGCCATTGATTTAAAACAACACAATAATAAAGAAATATTAATGAAACAGCTTTCTGAATAAATTATGTTTGCATATTGATAATGAAATCAACAGGATCCTGTGTGATAAGCACCTCTGTCATTTAACAGAAGTAGTTATTTCTATTTTTGCCCAGAACCATCCGCATGATAATGTGATTCCCTTCTAATATCTAGTATGTGATGTGGAACATGTTTTGAAATGACTGACTAAGCACTGTATTCGTATATTGAAATGCTTTGCTTGAGGGATTTTGCCTGTCAAGCATCAACAAATTAATTAATTTCAGTCTTTGAGAAATATATGATTTATATGATATTTTGTCAGTGGTGGTTTTTTCAATTTTATTCAACATCGCCTGTTTCTGTCCAGGCTGTGTTCCTGCGGACATTTCCAGCCGTCTACGGCGAACTGCTGAAGATCTTCACCGTGCGGGAGGTGGCCGGGTTCGTCAGGGAGATGCTGGGCAGCCTGCCCACCACCGTCCACGCTGACTGCCCCCTGGAGGCCGTCAAACTGCAGTGCATTGCCAAAACCGTGGAGAGCCAGCTTTATATTAACCCAGGTAACCAAACAGTTCATGTACACTTTTAAACACCCGCATAATTAAGCCTGGCAAACACACTGATGTGAGCAAATAACACTAATACAAAAAGTGTTTGTGTAGAGATTATGAACATAAAGAAAAAATAAACAGCACAGAGAAACAGAGAAACTGAATATTCATCCACAACAAATCTGACGATCTGATCAGTCGCATTTTGTTTTCTCGTGCAGCTTAAACACACAGGCTTTTAGTCCATATTACACTGTTAAAGGACACGTGCACTGATTCAAGAACACACCTTGGCTAATTATTGCCCTACAGTGCAATTTACTCATGTCATTAAATTGCTCTTATTAAAGACAGTGCATTGAAACAAATTACTGTGTCAGTGTTTCACTTCCAGTCTGCTCCCAAAGGCTAATTGGAACATGATAAAAATCCCTCATGCAAAACACATTGATGTCACATAGAGAATTACATTAAGATACATTTAATTGTGTTTAAGAAATGAATGCACATGTTGTCTGTGTTTGATGTCTGGGAGCTCACTGTGTTTGCGTGTGTGTGTGTTGCAGAATCGCGGTGCATCCTGCTGCCGGTGGTGCTCCGTGTCCTGCAGGCTCACATGCAGGAGCAGAGAGACCTGGTCATGTGCGCCCGCATCCTCACCAGCATGCTGTCGCTCATCAAGAAGGAGGAGAATGGTACCGCGGTGAGTATTTATCTGCCCGAGGAAATCAGGCCAACAGAGTAATCAGTGTCGTCTTTTAACCTCTCGCTGATGAGGCCCTTTTCCCAGACCCCTCCTCGGAAATGTCATGCCTAAAATTAATTGTGTATATCTCTGCAACCGCAGTGTGTAAGGGAATGTTGTTGATATCTAGAAATGACACAACCACGTGACAGTATCCTGAGCAGCAGCTACGACTTCTCTCTGGTATTCTAGAAGGCAACACGTCCGATTTGCCAACATAACAACTGGAAAATCGCTGTAAAGGAAGTCAAAGCTCGAGGAATTAGTCTTATGGCAATTTCCTTGCCAATACTTTGCGACAACATATTGTTTTGTTGTGTGTATACGGTCAATTAGTCTCAGTAACAGGGACATTGGCGGCCTCGTGCTGCAGTAATGAGACCCATCAATTTAGCAACGGGTATTGTTGAAGTGGCAGCCACTTTGAGCTGTGTGTACTGTATGTTTGTGTGATTTATGTGTGTGTTTGTGTGTGTGTCCAGGCTGGTTTGGCCTGACTTACACTGTACGCTGCCAGAGGGGCAGCTATTGGTAAAGGCGTCCAGTGACACACACACACACACACACACACACACACACACACACACACACACACACACACACACACAGAGTGGCACCACATCTAAAGGGAAGTGACAGCAGTGGCAGCCAATGTGCCAGTCTCAAGCTCCTTCTCATTATCGCTCTGTCCAAGACCTGCCTGTCTTGGTAGCAGGAGAGACTAGAGGGAGAGGCTTACACACATACACACACAAACACACACACCATTTTATCCTCTGCTCTCTTTCAGTTGCTTTTAATCTCTCACCGTCTCTTTCTCCTTGGTATTCCACCTTCTTTTCTTCGCCTCCTTCGATGTGAACTTGCAGTTTCAAAAAGTTGCTCTCGGCCTTCAAACTTGTTTTTAGTCCTCATAATTACTGTTTTATTAAAAGTGCAATGAAAGTGCGATAACAGGGCGAAGAGGTGCAGAGTTTGGCCCAGAGGCAGAATGACATCGGCTGCTGATCACGTTTGTGAATGCAAATTGGTAGCGATGGCTTTCAGGGAACATTCATGTATTTCAGGAAAGAAATTGACTTCATTTTTCTTCCTTTGTGTTTTTGTGAATACTCTCATTAGCTTGTGTGTGTTTTGTTCATTGTGTAGGAGCCGGTGGTGTCTGAGGAGGTGGAGCTGATTGTTGAGAGCCTGCTGGGAGTTCTCCTCAGGACCATCCTGGAAATTAGCAACCGGCCGCCGTCTGCTGGGCCCGCCATGAGACTTCAGTGCCAGGATGTCACTGTATGTGTGTTGTACCGTGTGTGTGTGTGTGTGTGTGT